ATCATTACAGCCCTTCACTAATCCACTGCTGAACATAGGCCTCCCCCAAAGAATGACACAAAGCACGGTCCTGAGCCACCTGCATCCATCGACTTCCTGCATGTCTTACCAGGTCGTCACTCCATCTCGTGGGGGGACGCCCTACACTTCGCCTACCGGTACGAGGCTGCCACTCGAGAACCTTTCTTCCCCATCGGTTGTCGGTTCTTCGAGCTATATGGCCGGCCCACTGCCACTTCAGCTAACTAATTCGTTGGGCTATGTCGGTTATTCTGGTTCTACTGCGGATATCCTCATTCCTAAGTTTATCACGCAGAGAAACTCCGAGCATAGCCCTCTCCGTAGCTCGCTGAGCGACCTTGAGCTTCCTCATACGGCCAGCAGTGAAGGACCACGTCTCAGTTCCGTAAGTCATCACTGGCAACACGCACTGGTTGTACAATTTCGTTTTAAGGTTTTGAGGTATGTCTGACGAGAAGATGTGTCGTAGCTTCCCGAACGCTTCCCAGCCGAGTTGAATCCGTCGATTGACCTCTCGGTCGAAGTAGGACTTACCTAGTCGGACTATTTGTCCCAGGTAAACATACTCGTCAACAACTTAGAGAATAGTGCTCCCAACAACTACCGGCATAGGTGTGACATGGACATTAAACATAATCTTTGTTTTGTCCATGTTCATCTTAAGACCTATCCGTTGGGAAACACTATTGAGGTCATTGAGCATAGTGCTTAGGCCCTCCAGCGATTCAGCCATAAGGACTATATCGTCGGCAAATCGAAGGTGAGTGATGTACTCGCCATTGATGTTGATACCGTACCCTTTCCAGTCCAGAAGCTTGAAAACGTCTTCCAATGCAGCGGTGAAGAGTTTCGGGGATATGACGTCACCCTGTCTTACACCTCTCTGCAATTGGATAGGTTTCGTACTCTGGTTCTGTACTCGGATAGCCATCGTAGCCCTTCTGTACAAGCACTTCAACACTTCGATATACCGACAGTCAACTTGGCACCGCTGAAGGGACTGCAGCACCGCCCAAATTTCGACGGAATCAAAGGCTTTCTCATAGTCCACATACGCCAGACATAGTGGCAAATTGTACTCTTCGGACTTCTGTACAACTTGCCGAAGGGTATGTATGTGGTCTATGGTGCTAAAGCCCTTTCGGAAACCGGCTTGTTCGGGAGGCTGGAAGTCGTCAAGTCTGTGCGTGAGACGATTCGTAATGACTCTCGAAAACAGCACGTAGACGCGGCTCAGAAGGGAAATCGGTCTGTAGTTCTTCAAGAGAGCGTTGTCACCTTTCTTGAAGAACAAGACCACCGCACTTCTGCTCCACGCCTCCGGTGTAGTGCCACCATGGAGGACGGAATTAAAGAGCTTCTGAAGGACTTCAAGTACCGGTCTTCCACCCGCTTTCAGAAGCTCCGCTGTAATTCCATCCTCGCCTGGGGCCTTACCGTTTTTAAGGTGCTGGAGAGCCATTCTAATCTCGCTCAGACTGACGTCCGGGATATCTTCGGAATAGTGTCGGATGAGACTCGCTCTTGGATCGTTACTCACACTTGCGTGTGGCTCCAACGATGACGTGTACAGCTGCCCATAGAACCTCTCAATCTCACTCAAAATCTCAGGTGTCCCGGAAACGATGCCGCCACATTCTGTCTTCAGCTTTGACAGTTGGCTCTTTCTGGCAGACAGATCTCTGGCAAAGACTTTGGAGCGTTGGTTCCGCTCGATCGCTTCTTCAATACGAGCTGTATTGAAGTTGCGTAAGTCCCGCCGCATGCATTTGGAGATCTGTCTGTTCAGATGCCTGTATGCTGTCAAGTCTGTTGAAGAATGTAGCTTCATCTCCCGTCTAACAGCCATGAGATTAAGAGTGTGATCGGAGAGTTTTTGTGTTCTTCTGCGGCGGGTCTTGCAGAACTTAGCTCCGACCGCATGGACAGTTTCCACGAGCTTGTCATTCATATCGTCCACTTCATTGCAGTCTTCTAGGCACTGAAAACGGTTTTGTAACTCGAGCAGAAAGGTTTCGGAACTTTGGATTAGAGCACGAGGGGGACGGAGCGTTGACTTCATTAGACGAGACCTCTCCAACTTAACGTTTAGGTTCAGTGTGCCTCTAACCATTCGGTGATCGCTACCAGTTTTCACCCTTGCGATCACGGAGACATCACTGAACAGTTGTCGTCTGGTCGTCATAATGAAGTCAATCTCATTTTTTGTCGAACCGTCGGGGCTCGACCAGGTCCACTTCCTGTGGGGCCGCTTCTGGAAGAAAGAGTTCATCATAAAGAGTCCCTCTTTCTCCATGAAGTCGGCCAGCTGCTGGCCCCTCAGGTTCCGTTGCCCTATTCCAAATTTGCCTAATTTCAGCTCACCGTTCTCTCTTGTGCCTAGTTTTGCATTGAAGTCTCCTATTAACACCGTATATTGGGTTTTGGAGGAATGCATGGCTCTAGAGATATCCTCATACATTTCCTCCACCTCTTGATCGGGGTGTGCCGAGGTTGGTGCGTAAACCTGTATGACCTTCAGTGAATACCGTTTGGTGATTCTGAGTATAAGGTACGCAACCCTCGTCGACACACTCCCGATCTTTACAACGTTGTTAACGAGAGACTTGTGGACGATAAATCCGACACCTCCTTGGGACAGATGGTCGCCCTCCCGGTGATAGAGCAAGTTGCCGGATTCGAGGATTACCGTGTCCTCCCCCTCTCTTCGGACTTCGGATAATCCTATAATATGCCAGCGCAACTTGTCTATCTCTTCTTCCAGCTCCACGATCTTCTCGTCAGTGCTCAGGGTGCGTGCGTTGTACGTTGCCAGGTCGAGTCGTCTAAGGTGGCAACCGAATCTCCACCGGAGATTCTTAGCACCCCCTGCCCCGCCGTTACCATGGTCGCCACCGTAGCCAGGAATAGCGGGGCCGCCGGGGACTGGGGGCCGTCTGTTTGTTGCTTTAGTCATTGGGGGGTATTTGCCATAGTTGCCACGCTTGGCGAGCGGGTTGGCAACCGCAGTTTTTTTATTATAATTTTGGCTATTATCAGGAAGATGCTGCTGCCCATCTTCTGCCTGTTTCCCTTTGTCGCCTTTTACGACACCCACGGGAGGATATGGGGTAGTGGATATTCTTGACCGCCACTACACGGCGTGTTATTACCTACATTCAATTCAATACGGCTTATTGTTATTACATACATTCAATGCAAATAAATAATTATTCTATTCTATTCTATTCTAAATTAATATACAATAAATATAAGTTTAGTAATTATCGCCGTAGAATAAAGCCTAGAGCGTATTTACTGATGTCAATGTTCCAATTAATAAGAGTTTAGCAGCTGGGAATGTGCAATTAACTCCAACGAATATGTTAATAAACTGTATTTCGGTTTAATTAGAATTGGCAAGGGGCGAAAGCGAGAATTGGCATAATGATATATTTACGTGAATATTACAAATTAAATCAAACAAATTTTAATATTTTTATGCGCTAAATTTGTTTAATTCTTTTTTTTAATTCAGCGTAAAAAGTCAGTAAATTAAGTTTCATTTAATGTGTGGTATTCGCGTTAATATAATAAATCATTATCTAAACAATGACGGACTGAAAATAAGCAATAAAAATTCGCCGATTAGAAGATTTCAACATTACAAGATCTAAGCGCGCAAGACATAAAACATCTTTAAATTTCTTGAAGAGATGCATAAACAATAATTCCAAATGAAACGCAATTAAATCCGTAAAATTAGTTCCATTCAATGCGAATATTTTATGCCTTTAAATTGCCAACCTTATTTTCTTGCCCCTCCTCATATGGATGAGGTAAGTTGAGCCGTGGTAGCTCACATGGTTACTAGCGCTCGCTGTAGGCTGTCGTGAAGCGACAATAATATATCAAAAAGAATCTAACCTAAGTACAACAAAAGAACAAAAATACAACAAAAACAAAAATATATTCAAAATTCAAAGATATTTACAATTTTATAAAAAAATGAAATGAGGATGATGATGAATGAAGTGAGAGTACAATTAGATTACAAAAAAAAATATAAAGGTAGGAGAATAGGGGAATAAAGAGATGTAGTGGGGCCTAAAAGTCGAAGCGACACACGTTGCGATTGTAGAGGTAAATTTCTTAGCAGCGACGACACGCAGCGCCTGAAGCCAGCACACGCCGGTTGCGCTTGTAGAGGTAAGTTTCTTAGTAGCGACGGCACGCAACGCCTGGAGCCAGCACACGCAGCGTCCGGAGCCGGCGCACGTAGCGCCTGGAGTAGGTGCGCTCAACGCTTAGAGCCAGCAGTTGCAGCGCCCAAAGGTAGCGCCGGCGGTAGGTGCACTCGGCGCCTGGAGTAAGTAGTCGTAGCGCCCGGAGTAGTGTGGCCCCCGCGCTTGTAGTAGTCTCGAAGCGACTTCCGAGGTAGATGGAGGCTTGTAGGAATCCGGAGTGGTGCGGCTCCGCGTTTGAAGAAGGCTTCGCCGAAGACTTCACGTGTAGGTGGAGGCTTGCAGGATCCCGGGGCAGTGCGGCCCCGGGATAAGGCCTTTAGGAGATACTTCCAATTCGCGAACTGAAGCGAGACTGCCTTTCTTCACCGATTGTTCGTCTTTTATACCTTTCTAGAGAGAACGGAAAAATTATTTAAATTAAACGCAAATTTTTTGTAAATGGTCAAGAGAAAAGAGGATTTATGTGGAATTATCGAAATAGGAACAACAGATCGGTAGCAAATTTGAATATAATTACTATAGCAACGAAATAAATAACAATATCAAAACATGTCAAATTTTGATAAAACTAATTTTACGGATTTTATCGCGTATATTAACTTATTTTACTTTCCCGACGTTTCAAGCACTTTACAGCACCCATGGTCACGGGGGGGACTGAGGTGTATGACGTCCCAATGTCATAGTTAACCACGGCTACCTCCAGATTAAAAATTATTAATTTTTGTTCCGATCTACGCAGTATGAACTTACAGTATCATGAAGTCTTGCAGTTGTATGCTTGGGTTGGGATTTAATTTTATTAATTATGGGATCCCAAGCAGATGGTAGCACCCAGCCATCTTCTCTATTGAAATTAGGATGTTTCTTTATTTCAATAGCCTCGCGAATCATCCTTGGAAGGAATCGGTGTTCTTTAGCGAGGATTTGTGGTCTATCAAATCTAATGTAGTGACGGGGGCGATCTTGTACGTGTTCACAGACTGCAGACTTCCCGGAGCGTCTATTCTTCACATCAGCTATGTGTTCTTTAACGCGGGTTTTTACGGATCTTTTAGTTTGTCCTATATAAGAGAGACCACATTCACAATCCAGCTTGTACACTCCTGCATCTTGCAGAGGAATATTACACTTGACTGATGGTAAAAACTGACTAATCTTCTTCGGCGGCTTGAAATATGTTTTAATGGAAGCACGCTTCAAGATGTAGCCAATCTTGTCAGTGACACCTCTGACATATGGCAGTACAGCAGGCACTCGCTCGACTGTGGCCGGCTTCACTCGTTCACTGTGACGTAGGCGCGGGACCCGAAGCTTATTGTCGTGCAAAACTTGCTTGACGTGTTGGAGCTCGGCGGCCAGGTGTTTACTGTCACAGATCCCTCGTGCTCTCTGAAACAAAGATTTACCCACGGTAGCTAACTGTGAAGGATGGTGGTGAGAATCACCGTTTAAATATCTATCTGTATGGGTCTTTTTTCTATACACAGTGTGGCTCAAGGTGTTATCAGGATTCCGAATTACTAATACATCTAGAAAAGCTAAAGAATTGTTTGCCTCTAACTCCATTGTGAACTGAATTTTAGAATTTAAGGAGTTAAGATGGTCTAAAAATGCAGTTACTTTATCTAAAGGTAGAATTGTGAAAGTGTCGTCTACGTACCGCTTGTAGAATCTTGGCTTTATGGGAGAAGTAAGCAGGGCTTTCTCCTCAAAGTCCTCCATGTATATATCGGCAACAATGGGAGATACAGGCGAGCCCATCGCCACACCATCTACTTGCTTGTAGAACTCCTCCTTCCACAATAGGTAGCCAGATGTAAGGCAGTGTCTGAGTAATACTGCATATTCTACGGGCATGTTGTTTTCCTCTAGCCTTCTAGTAACAATCGAGATGCAGTCTTCAACAGGTAGGCATGTGAACAGAGACTGCACATCAAAACTCACCATAGTTTCATTGTCTGCCAGATGTAGGTCTTTAATCTCGCTGACAAATTGGTAGGAATCCTTTGTGTGTGCTCTTGTATGTCCTTTGAGCGGTGAGAGTATATTCGCTAAGTGTTGAGCCAATCTGTAAGTTGGTGAATCGATTTGGCTCACTATAGGACGTAGTGGAGCATTGGGCTTGTGTATTTTTGGTAACCCACATAACTTCGGTGGTTTAGCACACGTAGGTATTATCGATTTTACGTCTAGATTTAATTTTTCGGAGTGTTTCTTTATGAGATCACTAGTTGTTTTAAGTGTGTTATTTGTTGGGTCATTTTTAACCTTTTTATACGTACTTACATCCGACAAAAGTTCTTGTATTTTAAAATTATAATCTGACGTATCCATAACTACCGTGGCATTTCCCTTATCTGCGCGGAGAATCGTGAGTTCTGGTTTATTGCGTAGGTTAGTCAACGCTTTGAATTCGTCTTTAGGTAGATTCGGTTTAGGCGCTGAACTTCGACGTAACATAGACGAAATGTCTTGACGTATCGCTTCCAAATCCTCCTTTTGCATATTGTTTTTAAATAAACAGTCCTCGACACTACAGATAATTTGTTCGTACGGTAATTTTTTCGGTGTTATAGCAAAATTAAGACCTTTCGATAATACTCTAATTGTTGCATCATCCAGAGTTTGTTTTGACAGGTTATAGACCGCGTTTAATCTATGATCCGCGTTCGTAGTCGACGGTTGCGTTTCGTTCTCACGTCGACACAGATGTTTGACATTTAATTTGGTCGTTAATTTTTGATATTTTATTATATGTTTGTTTTTGCATTCATTATATTTATTAATTTCTCGTTTATTTAACGTTTCGATGCAAACATTATAATCAAATGTCGTTAAAACTGCCTTTAAATCACTGAATGATGTGTCTATGGATTTGTTTATGGTATGTAGATCGGAGCGTTTTTGTTGGATTACCGTTCGTAACAACTTTTTACTTGCCTCATTTAAGATCTTAGCGCTTCCTCGAATGTCCTTTTTAGTGGATATTTTGACACACGTAGGGATGATATTATTATCACGACAGCGTTTTAAAAAGTTTAATGCTGTTATATATCTTGCGCGCTTAGTCACGAGATCTTCTAATCGGCGAATTTTATTTGCAATTACCAGTCCGTACTGGTTCACATAATGATTTCTTATATTTACGCGAACACTACACATTTCAATAAAACTAATTTTACGGATTTTATCGCGTATATTAACTTATTTTACTTTCCCGACGTTTCAAGCACTTTACAGCACCCATGGTCACGGGGGGGACTGAGGTGTATGACGTCCCAATGTCATAGTTAACCACGGCTACCTCCAGATTAAAAATTATTAATTTTTGTTCCGATCTACGCAGTATGAACTTACAGTATCATGAAGTCTTGCAGTTGTATGCTTGGGTTGGGATTTAATTTTATTAATTATGGGATCCCAAGCAGATGGTAGCACCCAGCCATCTTCTCTATTGAAATTAGGATGTTTCTTTATTTCAATAGCCTCGCGAATCATCCTTGGAAGGAATCGGTGTTCTTTAGCGAGGATTTGTGGTCTATCAAATCTAATGTAGTGACGGGGGCGATCTTGTACGTGTTCACAGACTGCAGACTTCCCGGAGCGTCTATTCTTCACATCAGCTGTGTGTTCTTTAACGCGGGTTTTTACGGATCTTTTAGTTTGTCCTATATAAGAGAGACCACATTCACAATCCAGCTTGTACACTCCTGCATCTTGCAGAGGAATATTACACTTGACTGATGGTAAAAACTGACTAATCTTCTTCGGCGGCTTGAAATATGTTTTAATGGAAGCACGCTTCAAGATGTAGCCAATCTTGTCAGTGACACCTCTGACATATGGCAGTACAGCAGGCACTCGCTCGACTGTGGCCGGCTTCACCCGTTCACTGTGACGTAGGCGCGGGACCCGAAGCTTATTGTCGTGCAAAACTTGCTTGACGTGTTGGAGCTCGGCGGCCAGGTGTTTACTGTCACAGATCCCTCGTGCTCTCTGAAACAAAGATTTACCCACGGTAGCTAACTGTGAAGGATGGTGGTGAGAATCACCGTTTAAATATCTATCTGTATGGGTCTTTTTTCTATACACAGTGTGGCTCAAGGTGTTATCAGGATTCCGAATTACTAATACATCTAGAAAAGCTAAAGAATTGTTTGCCTCTAACTCCATTGTGAACTGAATTTTAGAATTTAAGGAGTTAAGATGGTCTAAAAATGCAGTTACTTTATCTAAAGGTAGAATTGTGAAAGTGTCGTCTACGTACCGCTTGTAGAATCTTGGCTTTATGGGAGAAGTAAGCAGGGCTTTCTCCTCAAAGTCCTCCATGTATATATCGGCAACAATGGGAGATACAGGCGAGCCCATCGCCACACCATCTACTTGCTTGTAGAACTCCTCCTTCCACAATAGGTAGCCAGATGTAAGGCAGTGTCTGAGTAATACTGCATATTCTACGGGCATGTTGTTTTCCTCTAGCCTTCTAGTAACAATCGAGATGCAGTCTTCAACAGGTAGGCATGTGAACAGAGACTGCACATCAAAACTCACCATAGTTTCATTGTCTGCCAGATGTAGGTCTTTAATCTCGCTGAAAAATTGGTAGGAATCCTTTGTGTGTGCTCTTGTATGTCCTTTGAGCGGTGAGAGTATATTCGCTAAGTGTTGAGCCAATCTGTAAGTTGGTGAATCGATTTGGCTCACTATAGGACGTAGTGGAGCATTGGGCTTGTGTATTTTTGGTAACCCATATAACTTCGGTGGTTTAGCACACGTAGGTATTATCGATTTTACGTCTAGATTTAATTTTTCGGAGTGTTTCTTTATGAGATCACTAGTTGTTTTAAGTGTGTTATTTGTTGGGTCATTTTTAACCTTTTTATACGTACTTACATCCGACAAAAGTTCTTGTATTTTAAAATTATAATCTGACGTATCCATAACTACCGTGGCATTTCCCTTATCTGCGCGGAGAATCGTGAGTTCTGGTTTATTGCGTAGGTTAGTCAACGCTTTGAATTCGTCTTTAGGTAGATTCGGTTTAGGCGCTGAACTTCGACGTAACATAGACGAAATGTCTTGACGTATCGCTTCCAAATCCTCCTTTTGCATATTGTTTTTAAATAAACAGTCCTCGACACTACAGATAATTTGTTCGTACGGTAATTTTTTCGGTGTTATAGCAAAATTAAGACCTTTCGATAATACTCTAATTGTTGCATCATCCAGAGTTTGTTTTGACAGGTTATAGACCGCGTTTAATCTATGATCCGCGTTCGTAGTCGACGGTTGCGTTTCGTTCTCACGTCGACACAGATGTTTGACATTTAATTTGGTCGTTAATTTTTGATATTTTATTATATGTTTGTTTTTGCATTCATTATATTTATTAATTTCTCGTTTATTTAACGTTTCGATGCAAACATTATAATCAAATGTCGTTAAAACTGCCTTTAAATCACTGAATGATGTGTCTATGGATTTGTTTATGGTATGTAGATCGGAGCGTTTTTGTTGGATTACCGTTCGTAACAACTTTTTACTTGCCTCATTTAAGATCTTAGCGCTTCCTCGAATGTCCTTTTTAGTGGATATTTTGACACACGTAGGGATGATATTATTATCACGACAGCGTTTTAAAAAGTTTAATGCTGTTATATATCTTGCGCGCTTAGTCACGAGATCTTCTAATCGGCGAATTTTATTTGCAATTACCAGTCCGTACTGGTTCACATAATGATTTCTTATATTTACGCGAACACTACACATTTCAATAAAACTAATTATACGGATTTTATCGCGTATATTAACTTATTTTACTTTCCCGACGTTTCAAGCACTTTACAGCACCCATGGTCACGGGGGGGACTGAGGTGTATGACGTCCCAATGTCATAGTTAACCACGGCTACCTCCAGATTAAAAATTATTAATTTTTGTTCCGATCTACGCAGTATGAACTTACAGTATCATGAAGTCTTGCAGTTGTATGCTTGGGTTGGGATTTAATTTTATTAATTATGGGATCCCAAGCAGATGGTAGCACCCAGCCATCTTCTCTATTGAAATTAGGATGTTTCTTTATTTCAATAGCCTCGCGAATCATCCTTGGAAGGAATCGGTGTTCTTTAGCGAGGATTTGTGGTCTATCAAATCTAATGTAGTGACGGGGGCGATCTTGTACGTGTTCACAGACTGCAGACTTCCCGGAGCGTCTATTCTTCACATCAGCTATGTGTTCTTTAACGCGGGTTTTTACGGATCTTTTAGTTTGTCCTATATAAGAGAGACCACATTCACAATCCAGCTTGTACACTCCTGCATCTTGCAGAGGAATATTACACTTGACTGATGGTAAAAACTGACTAATCTTCTTCGGCGGCTTGAAATATGTTTTAATGGAAGCACGCTTCAAGATGTAGCCAATCTTGTCAGTGACACCTCTGACATATGGCAGTACAGCAGGCACTCGCTCGACTGTGGCCGGCTTCACTCGTTCACTGTGACGTAGGCGCGGGACCCGAAGCTTATTGTCGTGCAAAACTTGCTTGACGTGTTGGAGCTCGGCGGCCAGGTGTTTACTGTCACAGATCCCTCGTGCTCTCTGAAACAAAGATTTACCCACGGTAGCTAACTGTGAAGGATGGTGGTGAGAATCACCGTTTAAATATCTATCTGTATGGGTCTTTTTTCTATACACAGTGTGGCTCAAGGTGTTATCAGGATTCCGAATTACTAATACATCTAGAAAAGCTAAAGAATTGTTTGCCTCTAACTCCATTGTGAACTGAATTTTAGAATTTAAGGAGTTAAGATGGTCTAAAAAAGCAGTTACTTTATCTAAAGGTAGAATTGTGAAAGTGTCGTCTACGTACCGCTTGTAGAATCTTGGCTTTATGGGAGAAGTAAGCAGGGCTTTCTCCTCAAAGTCCTCCATGTATATATCGGCAACAATGGGAGATACAGGCGAGCCCATCGCCACACCATCTACTTGCTTGTAGAACTCCTCCTTCCACAATAGGTAGCCAGATGTAAGGCAGTGTCTGAGTAATACTGCATATTCTACGGGCATGTTGTTTTCCTCTAGCCTTCTAGTAACAATCGAGATGCAGTCTTCAACAGGTAGGCATGTGAACAGAGACTGCACATCAAAACTCACCATAGTTTCATTGTCTGCCAGATGTAGGTCTTTAATCTCGCTGACAAATTGGTAGGAATCCTTTGTGTGTGCTCTTGTATGTCCTTTGAGCGGTGAGAGTATATTCGCTAAGTGTTGAGCCAATCTGTAAGTTGGTGAATCGATTTGGCTCACTATAGGACGTAGTGGAGCATTGGGCTTGTGTATTTTTGGTAACCCATATAACTTCGGTGGTTTAGCACACGTAGGTATTATCGATTTTACGTCTAGATTTAATTTTTCGGAGTGTTTCTTTATGAGATCACTAGTTGTTTTAAGTGTGTTATTTGTTGGGTCATTTTTAACCTTTTTATACGTACTTACATCCGACAAAAGTTCTTGTATTTTAAAATTATAATCTGACGTATCCATAACTACCGTGGCATTTCCCTTATCTGCGCGGAGAATCGTGAGTTCTGGTTTATTGCGTAGGTTAGTCAACGCTTTGAATTCGTCTTTAGGTAGATTCGGTTTAGGCGCTGAACTTCGACGTAACATAGACGAAATGTCTTGACGTATCGCTTCCAAATCCTCCTTTTGCATATTGTTTTTAAATAAACAGTCCTCGACACTACAGATAATTTGTTCGTACGGTAATTTTTTAAGCTTCGGGTCCCGCGCCTACGTCACAGTGAACGAGTGAAGCCGGCCACAGTCGAGCGAGTGCCTGCTGTACTGCCATATGTCAGAGGTGTCACTGACAAGATTGGCTACATCTTGAAGCGTGCTTCCATTAAAACATATTTCAAGCCGCCGAAGAAGATTAGTCAGTTTTTACCATCAGTCAAGTGTAATATTCCTCTGCAAGATGCAGGAGTGTACAAGCTGGATTGTGAATGTGGTCTCTCTTATATAGGACAAACTAAAAGATCCGTAAAAACCCGCGTTAAAGAACACATAGCTGATGTGAAGAATAGACGCTCCGGGAAGTCTGCAGTCTGTGAACACGTACAAGATCGCCCCCGTCACTACATTAGATTTGATAGACCACAAATCCTCGCTAAAGAACACCGATTCCTTCCAAGGATGATTCGCGAGGCTATTGAAATAAAGAAACATCCTAATTTCAATAGAGAAGATGGCTGGGTGCTACCATCTGCTTGGGATCCCATAATTAATAAAATTAAATCCCAACCCAAGCATACAACTGCAAGACTTCATGATACTGTAAGTTCATACTGCGTAGATCGGAACAAAAATTAATAATTTTTAATCTGGAGGTAGCCGTGGTTAACTATGACATTGGGACGTCATACACCTCAGTCCCCCCCGTGACCATGGGTGCTGTAAAGTGCTTGAAACGTCGGGAAAGTAAAATAAGTTAATATACGCGATAAAATCCGTAAAATTAGTTTTATTGAAATGTGTAGTGTTCGCGTAAATATAAGAAATCATTATGTGAACCAGTACGGACTGGTAATTGCAAATAAAATTCGCCGATTAGAAGATCTCGTGACTAAGCGCGCAAGATATATAACAGCATTAAACTTTTTAAAACGCTGTCGTGATAATAATATCATCCCTACGTGTGTCAAAATATCCACTAAAAAGGACATTCGAGGAAGCGCTAAGATCTTAAATGAGGCAAGTAAAAAGTTGTTACGAACGGTAATCCAACAAAAACGCTCCGATCTACATACCATAAACAAATCCATAGACACATCATTCAGTGATTTAAAGGCAGTTTTAACGACATTTGATTATAATGTTTGCATCGAAACGTTAAATAAACGAGAAATTAATAAATATAATGAATGCAAAAACAAACATATAATAAAATATCAAAAATTAACGACCAAATTAAATGTCAAACATCTGTGTCGACGTGAGAACGAAACGCAACCGTCGACTACGAACGCGGATCATAGATTAAACGCGGTCTATAACCTGTCAAAACAAACTCTGGATGATGCAACAATTAGAGTATTATCGAAAGGTCTTAATTTTGCTATAACACCGAAAAAATTACCGTACGAACAAATTATCTGTAGTGTCGAGGACTGTTTATTTAAAAACAATATGCAAAAGGAGGATTTGGAAGCGATACGTCAAGACATTTCGTCTATGTTACGTCGAAGTTCAGCGCCTAAACCGAATCTACCTAAAGACGAATTCAAAGCGTTGACTAACCTACGCAATAAACCAGAACTCACGATTCTCCGCGCAGATAAGGGAAATGCCACGGTAGTTATGGATACGTCAGATTATAATTTTAAAATACAAGAACTTTTGTCGGATGTAAGTACGTATAAAAAGGTTAAAAATGACCCAACAAATAACACACTTAAAACAACTAGTGATCTCATAAAGAAACACTCCGAAAAATTAAATCTAGACGTAAAATCGATAATACCTACGTGTGCTAAACCACCGAAGTTATGTGGGTTACCAAAAATACACAAGCCCAATGCTCCACTACGTCCTATAGTGAGCCAAATCGATTCACCAACTTACAGATTGGCTCAACACTTAGCGAATATACTCTCACCGCTCAAAGGACATACAAGAGCACACACAAAGGATTCCTACCAATTTGTCAGCGAGATTAAAGACCTACATCTGGCAGACAATGAAACTATGGTGAGTTTTGATGTGCAGTCTCTGTTCACATGCCTACCTGTTGAAGACTGCATCTCGATTGTTACTAGAAGGCTAGAGGAAAACAACATGCCCGTAGAATATGCAGTATTACTCAGACACTGCCTTACATCTGGCTACCTATTGTGGAAGGAGGAGTTCTACAAGCAAGTAGATGGTGTGGCGATGGGCTCGCCTGTATCTCCCATTGTTGCCGATATATACATGGAGGACTTTGAGGAGAAAGCCCTGCTTACTTCTCCCATAAAGCCAAGATTCTACAAGCGGTACGTAGACGACACTTTCACAATTCTACCTTTAGATAAAGTAACTGCATTTTTAGACCATCTTAACTCCTTAAATTCTAAAATTCAGTTCACAATGGAGTTAGAGGCAAACAATTCTTTAGCTTTTCTAGATGTATTAGTAATTCGGAATCCTGATAACACCTTGAGCCACACTGTGTATAGAAAAAAGACCCATACAGATAGATATTTAAACGG